TAATTAATCACATCATGGCTTAGCAGGCAGGTAGCACAGCGGCCAGGGGGATGGAGAGATGTAGAACAGCCCCCCCTCCCCGCCTCACCTGCCCTGGGACGGCCTGTTCACTCGTAGCATCAGTGGGGACAAGTGCGACATCACTTAGCTGTGACCGGGATACAACAGGTTAAAGTGTAAACACTGTCATGTATTCTCCATGACCTGTACGTGTCAACGCTGTAACTGATGTCAGAAGGATCAGTGTGTGAGTTCCAGACAGATGGAACACTTATCTTTTCACATTACTTATGTGTTTCTGAACTGGTTTAGTTCGTTCTCCCACTGACGTCAGAGAAACAGCTGTCAGTCACTGGCCCATGTTTCCGCTTGGTTTTTCTCGTTGAAACATCTTCTGTGATGCATGAAATTGTCTGTCCCCGCTGTTTAATTTATTTAAATATTTTCTGAATAATGCCTTGATAATGCCTTGATTTCATTTTTGCTCTGAATGAAGTATTGTAAGGCACCATTAAATAATGTTTCCTGCATTAATTCAACCATACAGTAGATCAGGTACTACTCTATGTCATCAGATACATTTTATAATAAATATCTGCACTGCAAGAAGCGATAAAAAAATACTTGCTCAAATAAATGCTCAAATTTGGCAAAAAGTATCTTAATTTGACCACATTTCGACTGCCTTAAATATGATTTGCCAATGGGACAAGAAAAATGTTCTTGCTTTAAATATATACAGTAAAGAAAGGTGAAGTAAGACTAAATGGCTTTGTCCGTTGGTAAATCTTGTTTTAAGACAGAAAAAATGTACTAAAATGAAGAAGATAAAAACCACTTGATTCAAGCATTTATTACCTCATATTTTGTCATGTTTTACAGTGTGTGTGCCCTCCTTCAGTCCCCTTGTGCCTCTTGGCCCCACTTTGATGACAGAGCGTCAGGATTATACATTTTCCTTTTGAGCAAACATGACACATATCATAAATTAAGATAAAGTACATTAGAAAAGTAAATCAAACTCTGGGGAGGGGATGAGTGTCTGCCGTTAGAGGACTGAGGGGAGAGCAATGGTGGCGTGCGCATGTTAGTGAATAAATAATACACATGCATGATGTGCACTGGAAACAGCCTTCAGTGTCTGTATGACATGGAAAACTATGACATGGCCAAACGTCAGTGTTGCAGGTTAGAGCCCTGCACGGGCCTATTATCTGGGCCCGAGCCCGGCCCTGGCCCGAGGGGGTGGCGCCCCAGCCCGGCCCGGCCCGATATGGTTTCTCAATTTTCAGGCCCGAAACCCGCATCAATCCGCCTTTTTTTTTTTTTTTTGTAACCTCCCATAACAATGTTTTAGCGTAGTATATAGTGCCGCGCACTGATATGAACGCAGACTTAGCCAGAGGGCGGAGTTATACATGGTAGTGATGTGTTGCAATGAGTTCTGTGTGTGCGGAGTGAACGGCCACAGCTGTATGATGCCCAGATGCCGCAACACACTTGTAAGTAACGCTATGTGCCGTCAATGACAACACTACACAGAACAACAAACACTACAGCGTGATAGAACGCTATATTCAGTGGGTGCGTTCGTAAATCTATTCTGCCGCTCTGAAAATGAAGAGCCCGAGCCCGGCCCGTGTCCGAGGTCATTATGCGGTCATCGGCCCGAAGCCCGGCCCTCGGGCTGTCGGGCCGTCGGGGCCCTCGGGCCAAGGGCTCAAGTGCAGGGCTCTATTGCAGGTTACTGTATGTCCCCTTTAAGGACACAATGATTCACACTTTAGAGCATCGCAGTTGTCTTCCATCACATCACTAACCAGGAACTTCCCTGCTTCGCTTTTGATATTTGACATGATCATTAACCTTTATTCAATCAGCTAAGACCCACTGAGATTTCTGAATATCAATTTGAGCAGAGTCCTGACCCCAGACTTGAGGGACCCATCTGGATCCCAGGCTATAAAATAGTACTTGTAAAACCAGTCTGGATTTAGTGGGAGGACAAAATTACAATTCAATTATACAGAAAAAAAAATCTGCTCTTGCTGAAGGTTGAAAAAGAAAGAGGAGAAAGACTGAGATGTATCGGAAAGAGCAGAGCTAAATATCCATATTTTGAATAGCTCATTCCCTCTTTTTTATCAAATATAAATATAGTGTTAGACCTGAATTCATATTTGTTATAGTAAAAAAACTACTTATGGAATTAGCACATAAATGTAGCTGATGGAATCCCTGCATTTCAATGACATTTTAGGTCTGACTAAATGGAGGTTTTGCTGCTGCTATAGTAAAAAACAACTTATTATTCTTCCACCATAAACAAAATGCATTATTCTGAATATGCCTCTGACCTTTACTCTTTTCACTTTCACAGCTATTTCTTTCTCCCGTGCAGGATATTTATCTGACATCGGAATGTCCTTGTCTGTTGTTTTGAACTCTGCATACGACAGTGATAACATGTAATTATTAGGAACTAGTTTTGCTGAAGAAAACCCCCGTCTGAGCCATGCATAATTTAACAATAAAGTACTTATTCAGCAGATTGAAACAACGGACTACACCTGGACTCCTCAGCTCGTCTGGTCTTCATGAAAAATTCATACATTCTCAAGTTGTATTTATTCTAATGCTGCGCTCCCAAAAGTTTGTGCTTCATATTGTTTACAAAGAGTTCCATCACTTTCCCGAACGCTTTATATTCCAATACATTACACCAACTGTTCACCTTTAAGGCTACAAATGGAACTTTATTTAAGCCCGGGAGAATCTTTGAACAAGACAAACTACTTTACATTAATTCTTATTTAGCAAACAGTCAAAGAAAAGAGTTCTTTGAGATGGTCACGAGGGAAAGTCTTAGCCATAACCACATTAGAAGAGTTCTTTTACTGATGGCTCTCTTTTTTATTGTAGCTCGTAGCTTGATAGGTCTTACATCAAACATGTAGAACAACTGTGCCACCGTCAAACTAAAATAGGCAAGAATTAGAATCACTAAACACTAAAATAATACATTTAACAAACCATTTGCACATATACACATACCTCACTGGCATGACCCCAGACTCTAGATTTACATGGGAGTCAAAGTCAAGGCCCGGGAGCAAGCTCTGGCCCAAGATGAATTATCTTGGCCTCAGGATGATATTTGATTAGTATAGAACCGGCTTGCACAAAGCCAGAAGAAAATAATGGATTATTCATCTAATGTTCAGGACATGTGATTTCTCTTTATTTATTTATTCATTGTTTATTTAGTTGGTACATGTTAATGAACACATCACTCCGGATTGTACTGTAGCCATAGGGTAATTTCCATCCGTTGTCCCACATTCTCACTCATTCATTCACCCTGAACTATTGTACTGTACATGTTTTTAGTGGTAGGGGAAATCAGAGTACCTGGAGGAAACCTACAGACACAGGGAGAACATGGAAACTCCACTCAGAAAGGCCCTGGTACAGGATTCGAACCCAGAACCTTCTTGCTGAGAGCCACCATGCCGCCCTCTGAAGGAAGTTTGTTTTTGTCTGTCTGTCTGTAGAAAAATGTTTTCACCTGAAATGACTGGATTATTCATTTAAACATTATATAAAATACGGTTCACTGTGACAGGTTTCAGTATATGCAATCATTTAAATGTTTTAATAAACATTGAACCAGTCCGGCCCTTGGGTTGTAGCAAATCCTCTGATGTGTTTGACTTTGACATCCCTGCTCTAGAGGAAGTTAAGACTTTATCATCGCTTAAAACACATTGAAAATAAATTGTCTCTTAATTGCAAACTTTGCATGTGGATTTGCGCAACTCCAAATTAGCGTGTCGCTGAAAACGGGTTACTATATCAAGGTGCCTACCTGAGGATCATCAAAATGAAATAGCAACACAAGTATGGCAGTAAAACATGTACAGTATTATGTGTAATTGCTGTCAAATCTATAATTGATTCCTGTTTATAAGCTTGAAATAAAATACAATCATTCAATCAAAGTGGGATCGATCTATACCATACTAATTTGTTTATACTAAAATCCACATGTCCCAGTCTCGATGAAAAGCATTTTTGTATCTTCATAATAAAGTATTGTCCTTTTCACTTTACTATTCCAAACTTTTATGATTAGTGTCCCAGCCCTGTCAGTCAGGGCACACCAGCTGTCTCTCAAGTTCATACACAGTTTTTATGAGGTGCCAAGGCCAAGTCAATTTATGCTCTGTAATTAGCCTGCTCTCACACACACAGGTACAACTCACACACACAGGTCACAACTCACACACACACAGGTACAACTCACACACACAGGTACAACTCACACACACAGGTACGACTCCACACACACAGGTACAACTCACACACAGGTACAACTCACACACACAGGTACAACTCACACACACAGGTACAACTCACACACACACACAGGTACAACTCACACACACACAGGTACAAACTCACACACACAGGTACAACTCACACACACAGGTACAACTCACACACACAACGGTACAACTCACACACACAGGTACAACTCACACACACAGGTACAACTCACACACACACAGGTACAACTCACACACACAGGTACAACTCACACACACAGGTACAACTCACACACACAGGTACAACTCACACACACACACAGGTACAACTCACACACACAGGGAGTTCAGCTTCCTGATGGCCTTGTGAATGAAACTGTTTTAAAGATTGGCCTGAGTTTGGACATATCTGTTCAAACTGTTTAAAGTCTTGAGATTCAACAATCAAACGGATTAAATTGTCTCCAAACAGATGAGTTTGACCTCAGATCTGCTGAAACACTCGTCAGTGTCTCCTCAACTGATAACTCTCTTTGCTTCCTTCTCTCTCTCTCTCTCTCTCTCTCTCTCTCTCTCTCTCTCTCTCTCTCTCGCTCTCTCGCTCTCTCGCTCTCTCGCTCTCTCTCTCGCGCTCTCTCTCGCGCTCTCTCTCGCGCTCTCTCTTCTTCTTCGATGCTCAGAGCTCCTGATGACGATGACTCTGGACCCTTCCCAGGAGTCCAGGACTCTCAGGAGGTTTGCACCACCTCCTTCTCCACCTCTCCTCCGTCACAGGTACAGACTTACACACTCAGCTTATTCCATTGACTCTGAAATGTTCCTCTCTCGACTGTTTCTCACTGTGTCTCTTCTCTTTTCTCCTTTTGTTTATTTTCTGTTTTAACTCTTTCACTGAAGTGCGTGTGCACCCTGAGTCCGTCTCCCTCCAAACTGTCTAAGCCCCTCCCCCTGGACAGTCTCCCGCTCCCATTGGGCCCTGGACTTGTCACTCACAACAATGTGAGTCCTGTGTGCTTCACTTCAGTAGTGATTAGTCCGTGATGTAGAACGAGACCAAACATTCATCTGGAAAGTCATGGCACATCTCACATTAAAGCTGGGGTATGTAACTCTCAGACCACAAAACAGGAACTAGTCCTGTTTTTATCAGACCCCCGGGAGCTGCCTCAGTCCTGCACCGCACCTGTCCTTGGTCTTCAATCTTGGTTCTGGTTCTGTGCAGCCCGCCCGTCTGTGTGTGTGGAGCAGTATCTCTCTCGATATGGACCTTCTGGAGGTTTCTCACTTTTCTCCCACTGGGTTTTAAAGCTTTCCTTGCCGATGCAGAAGGGTCTTTTAGATTGTTAGAGTCTATTCTCTGACATGTGTTTGATTTGAACATACTGGTACTTATGGTTAAGTCCTTTGTCTTATTATGGGCCAGTTCCTATGGTAAGTACCTGGTACTTGCTGTATAATTACTGGTGTTATCACTGGTACTTATGGGACTTAAGTCTTTGACATATTACTAAGTCATTTGTATGTGGCCAAGTCCTTTGTCTGTGGCTAGTACCAGGTACTACCTGGTACTTACTGTATAATTACTGGTATTATCACTGGTACTTATGGTTAAGTCCTTTGTCTTATTATGGGCCAGTTCCTATGGTAAGTACCTGGTACTTGCTGTATAATTACTGGTGTTATCACTGGTACTTATGGTGAAGTCTTTGACATATTACCAAGTCATTTGTATGTGGCCAAGTCCTTTGTCTGTGGCTAGTACCAGGTACTACCTGGTACTTACTGTATAATTACTGGTATTATCACTGGTACTTATGGTTAAGTCCTTTGTCTTATTATGGGCCAGTCCCTATGGTAATTACCTGGTACTTACTGTATAATTACTGGTGTTATCACTGGTACGTATGTTAAAGTAATTTGTCTTATTATGGGCCAGTTCCTATGGTAAGTACATGGTACTTGCTGCTAAGTACCTAGTACTTGCTGCTAAGTACCTAGTACTTGCTGTTAAGTACCTGGTACTTGCTGTTAAGTACCTGGTACTTGCTGTTAAGTACCTGGTACTTGCTGTTAAGTACCTGGTACTTGCTGTTAAGTACCTGGTACTTGCTGTTAAGTACCTGGTACTTGCTGTTAAGTACCTGGTACTTGCTTTTAAGTACCTGGTACTTGCTGTTAAGTACCTGGTACTTGCTGTTAAGTACCTGGTACTTGCTGTTAAGTACCTGGTACTTGCTGTTAAGTACCTGGTACTTGCTGTTAAGTACCTGGTACTTGCTGTTAAGTACCTGGTACTTGCTGTTAAAGGCACACCGTGTAACTCTTGGCCACTAGGGGCGCTAGACCTGCAACTTTCACGTTTAGCGCCCCTAGTGGCCACAAGCAACTCAGCACTGTCGCAAAAGTCAACAAACAGTCAGCCGGTGTCTTTTGAGTGTGTATTCAGACAGCATGCACTGGTGTGTGTGTTCAAACTGTAGAGACATGCCTACAGATATTGAGAGACTCTGCTGTGGTCAGCCTCCAGACCGCTGCATTAGTAATCTACCACACATGGACTTCTATATCCTGGATGAGGGAGTTCTGCGTCTAGCTCGTGCTGCGTGGAATGACATCTTTGCAGTCGATGACATCCAGGAACCAGGTGAAGAGCAGCGCTCATACAGACATGCAGCTTACAGCACGATCCCTTTCGCGTTTCCTCTTTTTAGCCTCCTCCGAAGGTTTAAAATTTTTCCTTGCCTCAGCCATGACCAGGAGTCGAGCAGGTGAAAAATGAGTAGCAAAAGCCTTAGCTCCACGAGTATATCAGCGCCTGTAGCCGTAAAGCAAGTCTTTCTTCCAAGTCACGTGACCTGGTGGCAGACGGTCCGTCTGCTCGAAACTTACATGGGCGGTATTTCAAGAGGGCAGCCCCGCTCGGAGCATTGCAAGTGTCAAGCGCTGTATATTGGCCCAAGTATTCATATAAAATAACTCATATGTGTCAACTCTTTAGGTCACAAAGTCCGCGGTGTGCCTTTAAGTACCTGGTACTTGCTGTTAAGTACCTGGTACTTGCTGTTAAGTACCTGGTACTTGCTGTTAAGTACCTGGTACTTGCTGTTAAGTACCTGGTACTTGCTGTTAAGTACATGGTATACTATATAATTACTGGTATTATCACTAGTACTTATGGGTAAGTCCTTTGTCTTATTATGGGCCAGTTCCTATGGTAAGTACCTGGTACTTGCTGTATAATTACTGGTGTTATCACTGGTACTTATGGTGAAGTCTTTGACATATTACCAAGTCATTTGTATGTGGCCAAGTCCTTTGTCTGTGGCTAGTACCAGGTACTACCTGGTACTTACTGTGCTGCCAAGTACCTGGTACTTGCTGCCAAGTACCTGGTACTTGCTGCCAAGTACCAGGTACTTGCTGCCAAGTACCTGGTACTTGCTGCCAAGTACCTGGTACTTGCTGCCAAGTACCTGGTACTTGCTGCCAAGTACCTGGTACCTGCGAAACCTCTCCTTCACACATCGAGGGTGAATTAGTCTGTCACTGAGAGAGTGTCCTGCAGGGGGTGACAGTCATGGTCCAGCATAGATGTTAGTTTGCTCAGGACCCTCCTGTCCCCCACCTGCTGCACTGTGTCCAGGGAACAGCCCAGGACTGAGCTGGACTTCCTGATGACCTTGTCCAGCTTCTTCCTGTCCCTCTCTGTGATACTGCTGTTCCAGCAGACCACACCGTACAAGAGGCTGATGCCACCACAGAGTCATAGAAGGTCTTCAGGAGTGGCCCCTGCACTCCAAAAGACCTGAGCCTCCTCAGCAGGTAGAGGCGGCTCTGGCCCGGATACGCCCGCCGCACAGCCGTGGCGACCCAGTGCGCCAGCCGCTGAGCCGACAGCGGGGCGCCCCTGTTCTTGGGGCCCAGACACACAAACAGCTGATCAACCAACCTGAATGAAGATGTTATGGCCAGGTAACGCCTAAGCTTTCTGACAGGACACAGAAGGTGCCGCCGCTCCTCCTCGGGGGAGGCATGCGGCGGTGGATGGAAGGCCCTAATCCTGATCACTCTCGACCTGAAGGCCGACGTGATGACCTTAGGGAGAAAAGCCGGATTGGGCCACAACTCCACCATGCCGTCACCCTCTCCGAAGGACAGGCAAGACGCATGGACGGAGAGCGCACACAAGTTGCCCGCCCTCTTAGCAGACGCCAACGCCAGCAAGAGGGCAGTCTTAAAAGCAACACACTCGGGACTCGCCGCCGCCGCCGGTTCAAAAGGCGGGCTCGAAAGACCCCTAAGGACCACCCTGAGGTCCCAAACCGGGGGCGTTCTCTGAAGCGGGGGCCTCCTCCTGCGTGCCCCTCGCAGAAAACGCTTGACCAACGGATGAGAGCGGGCTGTGAACCCCCCGAAACCGTTGTGACCCGAGGTAATGGCTGCCGCGAACACCGCCAGGGTGGCGACAGTCCGGGACACCACCGGTCCAAGACCAGTCCTGCACGCTGCAGTACATGGCGTACCCCAGAGCAGGCCTCTTGGCTGCTAGGGGCTTTGGCCACTCACGTGTCGCGTGATGGACGATCGGGTCCATCCGCGGGCACAACGTGGGTTGTTTCCTCCTCCTCCCTCGAGTGGTGGCGCCCACAGAGGTGAAGTCCTCCACCGTCTGGACCGGCTGCGGTGGTAGAGGAGCACCCATGATGACCGCCGCGGAGGAGTAGAGACCAGGCATGTGGTCCAGCGGAAAGCGGTCCGGCTCCGGGTTCGACACCACATCGTCCAGCGTGAGGAGAGAGCCGTCCTCCGAAGCCAGTCCGGATGGGGCGCTGCAGCGGCGAAGAACGCGCGCCTGCGTTCGCTCTCCTCCCTGGGGAGAGCGAGACACGAGGCGCAGCTAGCGCTCAACGCCGCATGGCCCGGACCCAGGCACATGAAGCAGCTGGCATGCTGGTCCGTGCGCTGGAGCCTGACCCAACACGAAGAGCAGCGACAACGTCCGACGCCGGATGGCGAAGGGGACTCGGACGAACAATGGAAGACATCTCAGAATGAAGTAAGTACTGTGGTAGATCTCAATCGGCGCCAGAGTTCAAGAGGGGGCGCGGCTATGGAGCAGGGGCATTTATAGAGGAGGGTCGCTAGTGATTGGAGCATTTTTTGTATGATCTCTCTGGCGTCTGTGACCTGGGGGGTCACGTGATATCCCACTAGCGAAGTCCGCTAAGGGACGTAGCACCATGACGTAGAACATGCACCATAGAATAAAATCCTCAGCTTGGTCCAATCAGGAGGTGTGTCCCCGACTGCTGCTGGGGACAGGTTGCATTGGTGGCTGAGAATGGATCAAATGCAGAGGACAAATTTCCTTACAAAGATAAGAAAAATAACAGCAAGAGCCAGATCGAGTCAAGTCTGAGTCCAGTTTTCAGGTCTTTGTGAAGTCACAAAAATCACAAAAAAAGGTTTTACTAGACAATGTTTGTCAAGTGAAATTATAACCTTAAACTTTTTAAAGACTTATAATGTTACTGGTGACAATTATCTTTAAGTTCTATCATTATCTAGTTTTGACCAGTTTCCAGTGTAACTTTTGTGCAGCAACTTTCTTTTGACAGACATGAGATTGACAGCTCACTTCATTTGATGTCAAAGCTTAGCTTTCCGCCCTGAAGGTACTTATTTTCCGATAATGACCTGTGTACTATACATTATCCCGCTTATTATACAGCTTTATACCAACAGAACACACAAAATAAACTTCAGCCCACTCTTAGGAATGCCAAAAGGTTTATTTAATGACAGAAAATAAAATAGTTCCCAAAGGCTTTCCCGTGGCTATGCGAGTAACATTTAGGCTAGCAACAGTTAGGCTAGCAACAGTTAGGTTAGCAACTCCCGAACTAGAACTCTCTGGAACTGCATGACAACTGAACAAACAATTCAAACATCAGCGGTGAGTGACCCATACATACACTTAACCTAAATCCATAAATAGATCCTCTGCAAATGTTCCTACAATGTCCCGGGATCTACTTCTG